CCCGCTGTGCTATTGCTCCAGCCCCTAGATTCATGGTCATTTAAACATATACATTTTCACAGGAGAATGTAAGCAAATAGCTTCAGCTTGGTAAACAAGAATTAAAAAACATTAAAAAAAACTTTCTAAAATTACTGAACCCCTCCGGCACAGCCATAACACCAGACATACAGAAACCAATCTCGTAATTATCTGGTTCTTTGCAGAAATCCAAAATCATGGCCGTGTAACATTATATGATTCTCATAACCAGCTATAGAAAACAAAGTATTTCACAATGCCTTTTCAGCAACTCTGATTGTTTGGGGGGAAATTCTAAACAATAATGGCGCATCTTTTGTCGAAATAATGAATGTAATCAATGTAGAGAAGAGTTAAGTAGAAATCATCTGCCTCACAGGCATTTGGAGGGATGAGAGGGGGGTATACTGGGGTTCTTGGCGGTGAAAAATGAGTACTGGTGAAGGGAAAGGTGTTTGATCGTTGTATGACTGAGACTTAAACCTGAAAGCTTAGTAACTTTCCCACAGTGATTCAATAAATAAGTAAAGTAAAGTAAAGGCCCTCCCGTTGATCATCGATTTGCTCGAGCGGGCTCAGTAACATCTCCATTGGAGACTTTGTTGTTACTGTGTCTGGCATATCGAATACTCTCGGTAGCTTGCTGGGCTCTCCGAGAGGGGTGGAGGAATCGAACTCGGGTCGGCCATGTTGGCTGCGTGCAAGGCAGACGCCCTACCCGCTGTGTTATCACTCCTGATATAAGAAAAAAAAAATTAAAAAAAATTTGCTCGAGTGGGCCCAGTAACGTCTCCATTGGAGACTTTGTTGTTACTGTGTCTGGCACATCGAATACTCGGAGTTCATGCCCAATTCAATCAGCTAATCAGTGGCTGAATAAATAGCAGTACTCCTACAAAAAATAAAATAAAATAAAATTATTGAGCCCTAAAATTAATAGTTTAGGATTAAGTTCATTGATTTCTTTAAATTTCCAATTTTTAATTCCTAACCTCTGAGTGTAAATTTAAATTACTCTCTCTGAAAGGTCCAGCAGATTATAATATTTTTAAGGACAAATAAATTCTGCAGTTTTTGAAGGTCTAAGCACTTTTTATAACACATTTTATACTTCAATTAAGAGACATAATTTCTTAGTACAATTCAGTAACTACTTGTAAGCAATTACTAAGCAACTTAATAATTTACCTTGATTTGCCTTTAAAAAATTTAGCTAAGGAGACATCTTGGTTTTCTAATAGGTTACCAGACTATGATAAAACGAGTTTTGTTTTTATTATTAATTTTAAGATGCTTAAAGTCATATATCAATTTACTTCATGTGCCCCATTTAAAAATTTTGTTGGAAACGTTTAATTGCTCCAACAGAATTAGTTAATCAAAATCCTCAGAACTTTCAGATCATGTAGGATTCTTTGACTTAAAACTCTGAACATTTATCGAAAGGATTAACTGAAAAAAAAAAAAACGGAAACAAACCATACAAAATTCCTGACAAACCTCAGCCTTCAAATGTGGAATGCTGCTCACCCCTGGAATTTCATACATGCCGCTCAGAAACTAGAATAGGACGACCAGGAGGCCCTGTAGAGTTTAAGGCCAACTATACACCAAATAAATCCTAATTACCCATTTCCTTAAGTTGTCCAGGCTCCAAATCTCACGGGTTTTGTCCTTCTGGTTTATTTTTAGCACTATAGTCTTTTTCTAAAAAAAGAACCGTATGATGATACAGAAAAAAATATTTTTTGTTACCCCGACCCCCTTTCCAAATAAAATATTTTAAGAGGAGTCAGAGTCACTGAAAAACAACCTCTGGGTCTGCCCCTTCTCAATATCCTTAAAGCATCTGCCATCATCCCAAACTTTCCTAGAATATTCTTCAACTTCAGGAGTGTTTCCTCTTTCAGATACTGTAAAGGCCACTCTGAAATGAGTCATGACATCAACATACACACACAGTTACTCTCAAAAGGTCATTTCGAAGTTCACTCAACCTCTGTGTTAATAATTGAGTTCATAATGAAAAACATTTAATTTAGAGATGAGTATGACATACATTTCCTGGTATCAGAGAGAGAATTTAAAAAGACAATTCAGAGCTAGAAATCTCTTTAAGCATGATGAATAACTTTTATGACTCTGAAATACCAAAAGTTCTCTACAAGGTACTTATCATATAGATAAAATGCCTTAAGAGAGTCCAGCAACCCTATCTACTATTTCAATCTCTTCAGAACAAGTACATAAGAAGGAGAAAAATCTATAAATCAGTCCTTGATGACAGAGGGTTTGCTAGGAGTTTACCGAATGGAATGACCCTGCTGGGATTCTTTCTGGCAGCCTGTGAAAATGTCAGAATGGAGTCTGTTTTGGAGGTCATAGTCCCTAGAGAGCTCTGAGTTTCGGCCTGTTTGTCTTTTCACATGCTTTAATATTTGAAAATCATTCCTTGTAGACACTGACTGATGCCCAGGGAATGCTAGGATTGTGGGAACTGGCAGTACCAACAAGAGAGGCAGACTTCATGGGAAATCGGTGCCTACTACATTTGCCCTCTCGGCTTTCATCAGATAACTTGTTCTTCCAATGCTACGAAGGTACATGGTGAAACACTAAGAAATGCATGTCATTTTGCAGTCTTAAAAAAGAAATAGTTGTGGAAAATGGGGACAAATTTTACCGGAATCACCGAAACACTCAAGTTATAAAGCATCATCATGAAAATGTGAGAAATTATATTCACCTAGGATAAACTGAAATACTGCACTTGCAAAATATACAGACAAAACCCAAATTAGTTATTGAGTATGCCCACACTCTTCTAAGTACTTGACTTATATGGACTCATTTGATCCTCAGGCGAAGCAGGAACCAGTGTAATCCCCATTCTGCAGATGAGGAAACTGACAGCAAAGGTAACAGAGGTCTCCCATCATGAAGTTAGTGATGGGAGAGCTTGAGCTAGACTTCGATGGAGGTGTGGGCAGGGCAGGAGGTTCCAGGGTGCTGCTCTGACCATTGCACATATCGCCTCTTTTCTGAGTGTCTGACACTGGCAGGCCAGGCAACTGCAACTTACAGCTGATGCTGGGCCAAATGAGTGGCTACTACTGCAAACGCTTTTCTTTCATTCACCCTCTCAGTCTCTGGGGAGCACATGTCCAACAGGAGAAGCCAGACGTGGCCGGATCTCCACAGCACAACCAGGTACAGCAGAGCACACTCTGGAATGTACAGCCCTTCTTTTCTTAACATCAGGCTCTAAGAATCCTCTCTAAGGTAAACTGTGTACAGCCGAGTGCATATGGGCCAGGGAGGTAACAGAAAAGTGAAGGTGCTCGCCTAGCAGATGGCTGCGTCCGCGACCCTGGTTTGAATCCTGGCACCACATGTGGTCCTGTGAGCACCACCAGACAGGCCCCTGAGTACCACTAGGTGTGGAAAAAGTATTTTTTAAAAAATTTTGTTTTAACCATTTTTTTAGTATATGTGCTGCTGAAGCAAGCACCCCCCTATCGGGCTGGAGCGATAGCACAGCGGTAGGGCGTTTGCCTTGCACGCAGCCAACATGGCCAACCCGAGTTCAATTCCTCCGCCCTTCTCGGAGAGCCCGGCAAGCTACCGAGAGTATCTCGTACGGCAGAGCCTGGCAAGCTACTCATGACGTACTCGATATGCCATACACAGTAACAAGTCTCATGATGGAGACGTTACTGGGCCCGCTCGAGAAAAATCGATGAACAACGGGAGGATCATGACCGTGACCGTTTTAACCATTAAAGGAATAACTTTAAAAGATCTATGTGTCCAACAATTTTATGAACAGTTTGAACTGCCAACACAATATGTAAGCTTAAAATCTAAGAATTATATGAGAAGTAAGAGACACAACGAAGGGGACCAGAGTGATAGTACAGCGAGTAGGGTGTTTGCCTTGCACTTGGTGGACCTGGGTTCAATCCCTGGCACCCCATTTGGTCCCCTGGGCATCTCCAGGAGTGATCCCTGAGCACAGAGTCAGGAGGAAGCCCTGTGTACAGCTCAATGGGGATCTGAAATTTAAAAACAATAACATCAACAACAACAAAGAGAGATACAATCAATAATCATTCAATAAATATTTTTTATAACAATAAGAACATTTGACACTTTGTTGACACTGATATTTGGCTGATACTCGGGGAGAGCCGAGTAAGTTGATAGGGCAAACTTGCTTTCATTGAACACACAATGTGGGGTTTGATCAAGCAATTCAATTGAAACACTTCTTAAGGACTATGACTGGGACTGACTCTGTCAAAGGAGACAGGCAGGTCGCCCCTCTGCCAACAGCATGCTGCTGACTGATTTGAACGCGCGTCAGGTTTTAAATCTAGCCTACAGGAAATCAAAGGCAGTTTGTGAAAGAGTCTTTTTGTTTTTCTTGTCATGTCTTTATTACAGAGACCCAACTATTAGCACTTTTGTTATGTTCGTAACAATGTAAGAGACGAAAGAAAAAAAAAAAACAAAAAGAAAGAATAAAAACTTGGACTTAAAAATAAAAGCTAACGGATTGTCTTCTAACTGAGAATACGGTGCAGTAGTAAAAATGTTAACTCACAGCTGCCAACTCTTGAAAATCATAAATAGGAAGATCTCTCACATGCTTTAAATTAGATACATTATTTGAGTACACAAATGAAATCCATTTCTCTGTCCTTTTGAGTAGGGGGTGGAGGAGAGTCTAATGAGTGAGAGGGCATGGAGGTTTGGAAAAGAACTGATTCGTATCTGGAAAAAGTTCCATCAGTTAAATGAGATAGGAGTGATTTTTTACCCTCTGTTTTTGGCTGCCCAATGAACAGCACAAGGCAACGGTGATGATGAGATTTAAGAAGACATGATGTGACGAGGAAGGGCAGCCAGAGAGAGACACACGGGCTGAGGGCTACCATACAGATATTATGATGACACAGAGCGCTTCAGAGACTTACCCATGCTCACAGACTGAGTCAGCAGAGGAGACTGAAGTCCTGACTCCCAAAAGACTACACTTCCTGTTAATAATAGCAGGGTAACAGGTGAGGGGGGAGAGCCAATAGTTTGGATTAAGTTAAAGTTGATTTAGAAAAGCAATGGGTACGCTATTTGCCAATTCGTCTGGTAATATTAGCTAAGAACCAAAAATAAAATCCCAATACATTTGTAATCCCAACATATTTGTCTTGTTGCTATCATCGTGCTTTATTGCTGATTTCAAGGCAAATTAACAATGGAAGATAATAATCATGCTATTTTTTTTCTAGGACACCCCTTACTCTTCTCAGACTTTTCTAAAGCAAGTATCCCCTACCTAGCACTTCTTTTTCTTTTAAGCTAGTTTGTTGTGATTAGGTGAGGTAACAGTTATGAATAAAGCAAGCCCAAACTTAACAAAGTTTTTTGGCCCAGGAGAGGGTCTGATTATATAACATTTAAGTCCAACTAACCTAAGTAGTTAGGGAATTATAGCTAAGTAACATTAATCACTATCATTTTGTTCTCTTTTAAAACTACTTTCTGAAGAACAGAAAAGAATATTTCTTAATAGTTTCAATTTATTCACCAGTTCATGAGTCAAACAGTGACTCTAGCTTTGTGAAAATATCTTGAATAATCTATATAACAAACAATGCATGTCGAAGACTTTAGTAACTAGAAAAAGCTTGTAAAAATTTTTGGCAAACATCTTTGTAAGTTTAAGATAATGAGCCACATGTTGGATTAACCTCCAATTACTATTATGTGCTAAACATTACTTTTACTGAATGTGTTGATGTTGAGATTTCAAGGGCATAGGGCATTTCTGCAGTGGAATATGACTTGAAGACTGGAATAACAACTCAAAATAAAGCTCCAGGGGCTGTTATCTGGGGACTATGGTCTTGCTGAGGTATTTCTGAAACCACAAGCATCATCTACCCTGCAGCCCCCTCCAACCTCCAGCAAAATGAAAGCAAAGAATAAGAGCATCTGACTCCACCAGCCACCAAGGGGAGGAGATTTAATTCAGTCCCAGTCGGCTCCCTCCACCTATGTATGTGTCCAGGCGTGTTTAGCAACGCACTGAAGCAAACAAAATCCTTAGTAACAGCAAAACTACCTAATTAGAAACCCAGAGCCAAAAAAGAAAAAAAAAAATAAAAAAGAAGGTGGACAGAGTTACAGGAGCTTATTCACACTGTGGAGAGAAAAACACACTACTTAACAGGAGACTTTATAAAGAAATCCCTGTGAAAGAAACTGCCTCGCCCATAAGCTACTTACACGGCTGCTTTTTCATTGTGAGGGCTCAAGAGATTGTCACCAACAAAAAGAGTTTGAGAGCTGCCACAATGAATCAAGAACTTCATTTGCAGTTGTCAGGACACTCTTAACTGGCTTTAGGCTTTATTTGAGTTCAACAAAAAATTCTAAAGTCAAAAAAGCATATTAGAAACTAAAGAAAATTATATTAAAAGAAAACGATTTCTCTTCTCTGGACTCAACTCCTTTCAATTTTGAGTCTGGGAAAAAATTACTGAAATATATCAGAACATGTATTAGTATCTTTGGGAATTGTATTATCATTACTTTGGGGGTCTTGGAGCATGCCCAGCTGTTCTCTGTGCTCATGGATGTGCCAGAGACTGAACCTGGGTCGACAGCATGAAACCTAGCGGTACTAGCTCTCTGGCTCAGGGAACTGTTTTAGAAATTCCAGACCCAAAATATGTTAAGAAAGGCACTGATAAGTTAACGTTACAGAAGAGTATTCATTGCTATTGCCTTCAAAATTTCAGTTCCGTGTTTTGGCCATTAAGCATCTATTTCTTTCTTTTCCACTTATGAAACTATGCTAATTTTGTCTTACTGTCTGATCCAAAGAAATGAGAAACAACCTTTCCTCACCAGTCTCCAGTAGGTGACACCAGTCTGTGGACACTCTAGGGAACAATGATTTTTTCAGGATAAACACTCATCCCCCTTGCACATTTCCCAGCACCGGGCGGACAGCAAGTCTCCAGGCCTACTGAGCAGTGGGGGAATGTTTTCAGAGGAAAAGTTAAAGAAAAGGCCAGCTGTGAACATATGCTATTTGTTTTCTATGATGCAAGGCAAGCAGTTTTCTTTGGCTGGGTTTCAGGGCCAGGGAATGATGTCTGAGCACTTATAAATGTACTGGTACCTACACTGAACTCAGTGGAGAGTCACCTTGGGCTTCCTGGCATGCAACGGACTTTCAAAAACCAACTTTCTTTCTACTAAGTAATGACTCAGGAATAGAACAACAGGTGATCTAAAACTGTTCAGTTTAATGATGAAAAAAAAAGTATTTCAGACAGAATTACCAAGTGAAAAACTGCAGTAACCTAATAATACCTAAGTTTAAAATACGAATGCCAAATAATTCTCACCTCTTGACTGACGCTTGAAACATTCAGTTCACTGGAACTAGTTTAAAAATGTCTGTTAAGACTGAAGGTGGCAGATACTCCTTTTTCATGGACTTGATACTTCAGACAGTGGGTGAGAGGGGTCTCGATAGCCACAGAACTGGGATTGAGTTTCACCTGAAAATCCCTGGACTCAGACCCAGATCAAGTACTAAACTTTCCAAATTGTCTAAAAGATTGCCTTACTTTTGAGATGCTGCTAACTACAGAATTATTTTGGCCATATTTAGGAATAAAGGAAATTATTAGCTTTATTATTATTGCTAAATACCTTTCATATTTATTAGAGTAGTGGGACTACTGTTTTTTGGGGGCCACACTTGGCAGTGGTAGGGCTTACTTCTGGCTGTGCCCTCAAGGATCACTCCTGACAGGCTTGCGGGGTGAACATATGTGGTGCTGGGGACCAAACCTGGGTTACTCACATGCCAAGTAAAACTGCCTTATCTGATGAACAGTAGCCCCTATCCTAAAATAGTGGGACTATTTTGACCTTCTACCATTCTCAACACAAGTATTAATAAAAATGAGGAAAATCCTAGACCTTTACCCAAGTATACACTCCAATTTTTCATTTTTCTTGTAAAATCTATTTATAAATGATTCACTGACACAATCCTTTTCTATATAGTAATTTCAGATTGAAATATCACTTTTTGGGACTGGAGCAATAGCACAGCGGGTAGGCGTTTGCCTTGCACGTGGCCAACCTGGGTTCGATTCCCAGCATCCCATATAGTCCCCTGAGCACCGCCAGGGGTAATTCCTGAGCACAGAGCCAGGAGTAACCCCTGTGCATTGCCAGGTGTGTCCCAAAAAGCAAAAAAAAAAAAAGAAATGTCACTTTTTTTTGATTTGCTTTTTGGGTCACAGCCAGCAGGGATTACTCATGACTCTGCATTAAGGGATTATTCCAGGAGCACACGGGGCCATATGGGATACCAAGAATCAAACCTGGGTCAGCCACATGCAAGGCAAGCGCCTTACCCACTGTATTATATCTCCAACCCCAGTATCACCATTTTCTTTAGCAGAAACTTATTCTGACAAAAAATTCAAATGCCTATGTCTAACAATAATCATCACCAAGAAGCCATCTAAATTAAATTACTTCATAATATCTAAATACTACTTTTGTATTTTGAGGCTGATATCTACATCTTGTATATGGTATTATTTAGACATGGCATTAAGAATTCCTAAAAAAAAAAGAAATTAACATGAAAAAACCTAGATTTATGACAGCTATAACGATCCCTTCTATGCTTGGAAATGCATATGCAAATTAGGCTAATAGACACCACAGGCCTAAAATGAGATTGAATACCTGAACAGAAGCTAAAGGCATATAAGATCCTAAAGTCACTTAGCAAAGAGGAGACTGCTTCATATTTGAGTTCTTATACCTCAAAAGGTGTTCTTTCATTTACTGAATATTGAAGTAAAAAAAAGTACTTGAAGAAAACAAATGAGCTTAACAAATCAATTTCATATTGAAGCTACTTCTAGGGTATTTATAGACATACCTTAATAGAATCAAGGGTGAGGGGTGGGTTGGAAACAACATATTATTTCCAGGTAATTCTGAAGCTACAATTGTAAACGTTGAATGTTGTTACCAAGACAACTTTCAAAAATTGCTTTAAAAAATGTACTCAAGTACCAGTTTCAGAAAGGACCCAAGACACAGTTTCCTCTGGAGAAGAAACTGGGTAGGACCAAAGGAGCACCCTGCTTTTCATCGTGGACTTATCTGCACTTCTTTTTCTTGGAAGGCTATATAAGTACCTTACTAACTCAAAAAATGATAAAATAAGAAACCAGAAATTAATCCTCACAAAACAGAACACCCAATCACAAGTCAACATGAGGGAGTAACTGCAGATACTACAAATATACTACTCTGGGGGGGGGGGGGAGGGAAATTTAGTCTCATTGGTGTTTGGCTTGTTTAGTCATAAACTCATCACTGTCAGATGATGCGTACCTCCACAAATCCTGTCAATCAACCAGGAGAAACAGAACTGCAGATACACCCTGGGGGGCAGTGCCAGATGAGTAATGCAAAATGGCCTTTGCAAAGGACACTCACCATAAAGATTCCTGGACAGAACCTGAGCAAACTGACTAGCAGAAACAGGGTTGTAGATAAAGCGACTATTTAATATATTACACTGCTTTTATAAAATGTGATTTTAATTATGCATGTGTACCTAAATTAATGAATCAGAAAATATTTTACATTTGTTTTGGGGCCACACCTAAGCAATACTCAGGGATTGCTTCTGACTCTGCACTCAGGAATTACTCCTGGCAGTGCCTGGGGGGACTGGGAATTGAACCCCGGTTGGCCATGTGCAAGGCAAATGCTCTACCTGTTGTACTATCACTCTGGCTCCATAAATCAAAACCTTAATCAATTCACCTAAAAGTTTCCAAGGGAAGACTACCTGTTATTTGCCTTTACCTTATATTCAGACATATTATTCAAATAACTATTCTTGCAAGAGATTGCAAAGAGCTGTATCAATAGCCCAAAGTAGAAAACTTCCCTATTTACCCTCCTCTGCATCTTTAAGTCATTTCTTGATCGACTATACATTAATGAAGCTTATATGAGTTCAACCATTATTTTTTTGAAGATAATAATTTGAATAATATTGATCCAAGTGTACTGTGAAAAATCTGATTACATTTAGTCATATTTCAGTAAATGTGCTTTTAGTGTTTTAGTTACACTGTAAGCTGAAGTGAGGTTCCTAAGTGAGGAAGGTCCAAATGCCATCCCCACCAGTGGCTGGGGAGAGAGCTCAAGGAACTGAAGTGTGTATTTGCAACATAGGACCTGGGGTTTACTAGAGATACTATGTAGTTCACCAGCACCACTGGGAGTGATTCCCAGGCACTGAACCAAGAGTCGATTCTGTGCACCAGGTGTGAGCCCAAAAGCAAATAAAAACAAAACCCCCAAACCATCAACAGCCTCCTGCAGGCTTTGCTGGTACTCTAGTGAAGCTGTTGTTCAAAAAAATCTGGTTGAACCAGCAGCAGATCCAAGTATTAGACATCTTATTTGACAAGAGAACAAGTAACTGCAAGGACATGTACTAATAAACAGCTAATCATAGTAGACTTTCATTCATTTTCCCAAGTAAGAAAAAGCCATCACGGAGAAGAATTGGGAAACACCCAATCACAAAAATGAGTAACAAGGTACAAAAGTGCTCTATAGGGGAATGGTTCTATCCCCCTATCTCCTCTAAAACCACAGGTAAATATATATTTATATTTGTGAATATAAGACTCATCAATGCCATGGAAAGCATAGCAAATCCAGTTCAAAGTCTTAAATCTACCTTTTAAATACGTACACTTAAGGTAAGGTAAAGGTAAAGGCCCTCCCATTGATCGTCGATTTGCTCGAGCGGGCCCAGTAACGTCTCCATTGGAGACTTTGTTGTTACTGTGTCTGGCATATCAAATACTCTCGGTAGCTTGCCGGGCTCTCCGAGACGGGCGGAGGAATCGAACTCAGGTTGGCCATGTTGGCTGCTTGTAAGGCGAGCGCCCTACCACTGTGCTATCGCTCCAGTGTGTGCAAATTTTAATATCTTGAATCTTGTTAGTTTTTATGTTTTAAATATTAAAAATATGTATCGTTTGTTTCTATTTATGTTTTATTTTTAAAAAACACATAGCACTGGGTTTCCTGGAAACTCGGAGATGTCTCTGTGATTAGTGATAATTTCCTGAACAAGCAACAAATCAATAGAAAATATTCCCTCTGTACATAAGGCTAAGCCAATCATAAACTAAATATTATCATATCCTATACACATTAAAACATTCAAACAAGAAGTTCTTATTTTATAAGCAATCATTAAGATCAGGTGCAACACACGGGGAATGTGAAATGTGGAAAGAATCTAGCCAAATTTGCAAGCTATGCTCTCTGGACTCAATACAGCAAGTTACCCTCTATTGCTATTTTGGCACAAAATCTGCTTGTGTTAAAATGGTTAAAACTAAAGCTGGTTTTCAAAGAGAACATTGCTGCCAAAGAAAAGTTACTGGGGAGATCATCAAAGAACTGGGTGCAAATTCTGCCTGAAACTCAGAGCTAGGAAGAAAGCACATCAGTGGGATTCTCTTCTGCGTCCGATCACTGAATGCACCAGGGAAATGGTTACCAAAGCAGACGTGAGCTCAGAAAGGGCAGGTCGGAACCAAGGGTCCCAAAGCACAAGCGGACAGACTCACCATTCTTCCTTTCATTCAACGGGGGCAAGTGCTGACTGGACTGCAGGGAGAGCTCCTGGAGTTCGTGAGCGACAGCTTCACTTTGAGGGCTGGGAGCGAGATGGGCTAAAGGTCCCAACTCATCCTCAGCGTCGAGTGCCCTGGAATGATCCATTGTGCTCCAACTGCTGGCAACAAGGGAGACGAGACACCTGTGAAACGTGGCCTGTTGATGAGATGGGCAACATAAAGAATGTGTAAATACAGAGTGTAGTATTTTTCTCCAATTTGCAGGAAAAAAAAAAGCATTCCAACGGAATCCCTGGGTTCTAGTCCCGCTTGACTGCTGTGAGTTGAGTCAATTCATTGACCTCTCTGAATTTCAGGTTCCTTGTCCAGCCCAGAAGAACAAGACCAGAGGAATAAGACCCTCCTCATCCAAAGAAAGCACTTTCTAGGCAGCGGAAAAAACAGATGTTTTGTATAATTTTTATACTGTGACTTTAAAATGTGGTTAACAGTGCCATTGCTTTAAGATTTTCATGTACCCCAAAATGAGACAGAAGCTCAGCTCAGTGTGACCGCTGATAAGAATAAAAAAGGCAGAGCCAGGCTGGAAAATCTGTCTTAATCCCTCCATATCACACAATTTTTCTATCCAATCAACATTTACAACAACCAGCAATGTTTCAAATAATGACATCTTTATCAGCCCATGTCTCAGAGGAACAGAACTCGCAGCCAGTGCACCATGAACTTAACGTTCATGTCGTGGAAACAAGATTTATTTGGAGTTGTTTACTATGGCAGAATCTGGCACGTGAACGGAGGGATCAGCAATCTGGAAAAGAAGTGCCAAGCACTTACAACCCCAACTGTGTGACAGTGGCAAAGGGCCTGGGCTGTGGCATGTCATGAACATCCGGAGGAAGGTGGCTCTGGTCATGCAGGGGTGAAGCACGCGATACCCAGCTGCCTGCTTGGAAGCACTGCACAGCAGTCCCTCTCTGCACCCACTCTCAAGGGGCACTTGAGGGGGTTCCAGGTTTTGACTATATAAAGTCTTTAGGACTATTGGGGACAAGTATTTGTGTGTGTGTGTGTGTGTGTGTGTGCGCGCGCGCGCGCACACTCTCACTTTTCTTGGGTAAATGCCTAAAGAAGAAACGGCTGGATCATGGCAGTTGTGTGCTTCAATTTTAAAGAAACAAATTATTTCCCCAAATGGCATTTTTTGAGTTCTCATAAACAGTTGTTTCAGTCGTTCTACAAACTCATCATCAACTTTTAAAGTTCTAGCTATTTTAATTTTATCTGGAATCTAATTTGCATTTTCCTGCTGATGCTGAATATCTTGTATTTATTTGCCATGTGTTAATCTTCTTTGATTAAGTAATAAATTAAGGATCAAATCCTTTGCTAATTTTTACAATTAGGATATTTATTTTCTTTAATAGCTTGAGAAGCCTTTATGTATTCCGGAAAAAAGTTCCTTATCGGCTCTGTGATTTGCAAAGATTTTCTCCCAGACTTTTAACTTATTTTTCCATGCTCCTGTGTTTGCTGAAGAGCTGGAGATTCTACTTATGTCAAGTTCAATTTATTAATTGTGGATTAAATTTTAATGCTGTAGCTAAGAAATCTTTGGTTCACCTAAGATCACAAAGATGTTCTCTTAAGTTTCTTCTTCATATTTTATAACTTGAAGTTTTACATAAGTCTATGATCCATGTTGACTTCTTTCTCTCTCTCTCCCTCTCACTCTTTTTAGTTTTTGGTCTTTGAGCGACATCCAGCAGTGCTCAGGGCAGAGTCCTGGCTCAGCACTTAGGTATCACTGCCGATGCTGCTCAGGAATGATTATGCACATGGGGTGCTGGGGATCAAACCTGGGCCAGCTGTGTGCAAGGTAAACATCTAACCTGTTGCACTATTACTCTGGCACCAATGTTGAGTGCATTTTTTTGGCTACACCCAGTACTGCTCAGGGATCACTCCTGGTAGGGCTCAGGGGACCATATAGGGTGCTGGAGATCAAAACCAGGTTGGGTGCGTGCAAGACAAATGCCTGCCGTACAATTGCTCTGACCTCTGCTAACTTTTACATACACTATGCAATACCAAATTTGTGAGGTTTGGAGGCATAAGAATATATGATTGTTTCAGTACAATTTGTTGAAAAGATTCTTTTCTTCACTTTCCTTCATACTTTTGTTGTAAGTCAGCTGACCATGTAAATCTAGTTCATGGCTTGATATTTAGTCCCCCAAAAGAAGAGTCACAAAAGAAGACCCCCCTTAAATCCTTTGCATAAACTGTATAAACTAAATCTCTAAAGGCTCTAAATTATGTAGATATGTGACAAACTCTCAGTAGCCCACTAAAATACAAAGACCAGAACAAGTCTGGTTAAAGGACTTAAAGGACTGTGCGTATCCAGCATACTAGAAGCTTGAGTCCAATTTCCACACCGCATGTCCCTGAGCATTGCTAGCAAAGCTAGTTTTTCATTTTGGTTTCTTTAGTATTGATCACTTGATCACTTGATATCCCGTTACTCATAGATTTGCTTGAGTAGGCGCCAGAAAAGTCTCCATTCATCTCTGTCGCGTGCTGGTGTAGCCCAATGGTGTCTGCTCATTCTAGGAACACGAAGAGCCTCAAACCGATCATTCAGGGTCTTGAATGAAGAAGTCTGACCATCTCAAAGGTAGGCGGCCACACAACCTTTTGACATCCTGTGGAATCCAGTGGGTAATGGCTCTAGTCCAGCGGTTGTCTCCAAATCTCATTACGTGTCCAGTCCATCTGATTTTCGACGTCTTGGCAGATGAGACAGTGTCCCTGATTCTCAATTGTCGACGGAAGTCGGAATTCCAGATTTTTTCTCTCATTTGAGTGAAGCGTGACACTCCAAGCATAGCTCTTTCGATTCTGCTTTGGGAGACCTGAATAGCATTCTCATCCTGTTTTCATAGGGCCCAGGTCTCTGAGGTGTATGTTAATGCAGGAAGAACAGTGGAATCGAAGAGATGTGCCCAGAGCCGGAGGTTCTTCGTCCTCTTAGCTATTTCTTCGATGCTCTTGAAGGCGTTCTAAGGTGCTCTCTTCCTCCTGTGCAACTCAGGTGCCAGGTCATTCGTCATGTTGACTTCTCGACCTAGGTACACATAACTGTTGCATTCGAAGATGTTTGTTCTGTTGAGAGCATCAGGAATGAGACTGTTTCTCATAAACATTGTCTTCATGAGATTCAGCTGCAGTCCGACCTTTGTACACTCACAGTCAAAGTCAGCCAGCATTTGTGCCGCTTGGCTAATGTTTGGTGTCATCAGCGAAGCAGAGGTGGTGTAATTGCCAACCATCTATCTTCACTCCCATTCGTTCCCATTCCACTTATCGCATGACATTCTTGAGGGTGGCACTGAAGAGTTTCAGTGAAATGGTATGACTCTGCCTAGTCCCTCTCTTGACATGGATGATCACTTCCTTGTAGAATGGTGAGAACCTGGTAGTGAATCCATAACACAGTTCACGGAGGATCCTGATGTATTGAGTTTGAACGCCCTGTTTGGCTAGGGCTTCGACGATCACTTCCATCTCAATAGAATCAAAGGTCTTCTTGAAATCAATGAACATTAGACAGAGCGGCATCTTGAACTCCCGAGAAACATCAATGGGCTTGGTTATCGTGTGGATATGATCGGTTGTGCTGAATCCTTTGTGGAACGCAGGTTGCTCGCATGGTTGTCCTTCATCTGGTGTTCTGCCAATCCTATTCAGGATGACTCAAGTGAACAGCTTGTGCACGACAGACAACAGGCAGATCGGGCGATAATTGCCAATGTCATGGATTTCTCCCTTTTTGTACAGTAGTATAGTCCTGCTGGTTTTCCATTGGGATGGAACCTTGCATTCAGACAGCTAGCATGTGAAGAGCAGAGCCAGTGTATTGATGAGTACTGACAGCAGGTTCTTCAGGTGTTTGGGTCTGACCTTGTCTGGGTCGGGTGCTGTTCACTTCTTTACCGACGAAATGGCGTGTCAGATTTCAGAAGGGAGAACGTTGGGAACGACATATCCATTCTGCGGAATTTGGTATGTGGGCAGGTGAACGTGGCTATCAAAGAGATCTGAGTAGAAGTCATGGATAATCTTCTTCTTTGCCCTTCTGGAAGATGTGATTAGTATTACCAAAGTATAATATAATGCAAATAATAATACTGTTACTCAGTTTATATGTAATTATGTTAGTGTCATTATACCTATATACTCCAAAGAGTGTATAAATGTAATTTATATGATAACCATAAAATAAAGTATGGTGGAATATTACAATGTTCTTACATTTTCATATACTGTGAAAAAGTTGTATAATTTTAAGTTGAAGGAGCCTGAAAAGACAAGGTTATATATTATAAATCCTCCAGCATCATCAAAGTAAGTCTTGACATTATGTTAACCTAAAAGGTGTGTGCAGAAGGTGAGCTTACATATAAAATTACATGTTTCAATACAGAACATTTAAATGAGTTCAAGACTGTCCTTTATGTGTATCTGTTTTTATCTCAATTTTACCTCAATTTTCCTTGATCTTATAAACCCACATTTTAATAAGATTTAAGAACGTAATGAATGTGTGTATTTAACCTACTTTGGATCTGCCAAGGCACTAATGAACTGAGGAGCCTAGATTCTTAAATCTTATGATAATCGGTAAATGTCTTACTTGTATACCCACTTTATATAAACAGGGTCACGTAAAAATTTCTCAAGTGAAAAGGAGTTGTGAATGAAAAAAAGAAAGGTTGCTCTAGAAGTATCCTAGGTACTGATAAGGCAACTACTTGATGAATCTCATTCCAATAAAACTGTAGGTGTGGCCCTAAAATTTCATTTCACTTCAAGTTATCTAGCAGCACTGCACTGTAGCACTGTCCTCCCATTGTTCATCAATTTGTTTGAGAGGGCACCAGTAACGTCTCCACTGTGAGACTTGTTGTTACTGTTTTTGGCATATCCCATACTCCATGGGGAGTTTGCCAGACTCTGCTGTGCAGGCAGGATACTCTTGGTAGCTTGCCGGGCTCTCCAAGAGGGACAGAGGAATCGAACCTGGGTTGGCCATGTGCAAGGCAAACGCCCTATCTGCTGTGCTATCACTCCAGCCCAAGTTATCTAGTAACATAAAATAAAATATTTTCCCAAAAACTAATTCTACAAACT